GCGATAAGTTTTACAATACACTAAAAGGCGAAGAGTTGTCAGAAAAAGATTATAAACAAGCCTTAGAAATTTTTGATTTGGCTAAATGTCGTAATATAGGGGAGTATCTGCTCCTTTACCTCAAAGTGGACACAGGTTTACTAGCGGATGTGTTCATAGTCTGGCGAGATACCATGCTTGCTCTCTACAAATTAGACATTTCCCACTACATTTCTTTACCCTCATTTGCTTGGGATGCATTTTTGCTTAAATCGAAAGTTGAACTTGATGTTGTGTCAGACCCATTGTTATATGATTTACTTCGTTGGAATCTCCGAGGTGGGTTCACCAGTGTGACGAGACAGTACACGAATGTGGAGAACCAGCATACAAGCTTAGATCTATGGGAAGGTAGTAGCTACATAATTTGCCTTGATTTAACAGTCTTTACGGGGCGTGTATGACTGAACTGCTCCCTCGTGGCGGGATTCGGAAACTGACACACAATGAGCGTGACGTACTGCTAGAGCAAGGCTTGGAGAATATCCCTTGTGACGGGTCCAAGAGATATTGGGTGTTGTGTGATACACTGCAGGTCCGACTGGAGGTGGCTTGGTATACAGATGAACTGCCTATAGTTCTTTCGCATACTTGCATTACCGAGGATCACATTTCACCTTACAGTAAGAATATTCTTACAGAAAAAAGTCGCGGTCTGCCTAATAACAACACTAAATTAATTGCTTCTCATCTTCCTCAGAAAGATTACCTGGTTAGTCTGGACTTGTTACAGTTGCTCATGCGCATTGGATTAGAAGTAGCTAAAGTTCACGACATCTACGAATTCGAGCAGGAGACCTACCTTAAAGACTTCATTGAAACCAATGTTCGTGAACGTGCCAGTACCAAATGCACGATAAAAACGAATTGAATACTTACGAATTGAATACTTACGAATTGAACGGTACGGTAAACAACATAGCTCAATTCCAACACAATGTCAAACAAAATAATTCGTTAAAATATAAAATAAATTGAAATCTATGAAAATAAAATTTATCAATGCAATCGGAAACAATGAAATGGAATTCGTGACATATTTAGTATAGTGTGCATGTTGCTATTATGTGCAACACATGGGGCTGTTTATCAAAAACGCATGTTTTTTCCTGTCACAGGGGTGGCATCTATATAGTAGGTATATAAAAAGACGCGCCTATTCGAATGGCACGTAGTGTCAGAATTTCAAAGCAATCGGTGAAGAACTTTGGGAGATTACAGGGTGTGTTGCTCTTACATCCAACAGATGGCGATGTTTTTCAAAAAAAGCATGTTGTCTCCGGTCACAGGTAAGGCATGTATATAGTAGGTATATAGAAACACGCGCCTATTCGAATGCAATGTCGTGTCAAAATTTCAAACCAATCGGTGAAGAGGTTTCCAAGATTTCTCTCTCATATGAAAAACACATGAAAAACACAGTTTTTCAAAAAAAGCATATTTTTTCGGTCACAGACGTGATATCAATATAATATGTATATAAGAACCTGCTCGGATGCGAATGGAACATAGTGTGAAAATTTCAAAGCAATCGGTGAAGAACTTTCGGAGATTAGCGATTTTGAACAAACGAATTTTCAATTTTAATTTATATAGATTATATTATTTATATAGATTACAGACGGGTGAGGGGTGACTGGTGGGGAGGACTGGGGGACAGAGAAGGTTGCTGTGGCTCAGCAACGCACATGTTCGCTGAGCCACAGCAACGCGTGGCCGGGTACTGCTAGTCTATTAATAAAAAAACATGACCTTGAGAAGAACTATAGGTTAGGAATCGTCTTCAAAGAATTTTCAAAGATTTACTCATCATTGCTGTCTAAAATAATTAGGAGAGCCAAAATGAAATACTACGAAAATAAATTTACCCAAATTAAAGGCAACAATAAGAAAACATGGAACACTATTTCCCAAATATTAGGATAAAAAAACATTTTGAATTCAAAACCAATACTCCTATCCAATGACAATGCTGTGCTTTTAGCCTCTGGCACTGCTATTGAATTCAATCGGCTCTTCTCATCCATTGGGACATCCCTTGCTAATGATATTCCATCCTCCCTAACTAATGTTAAGGACTACCTTACAGGTAACAATCCAGAGTCTTTGTACCTAACTCCCGCTAATTCCACTGATGTTAATGAGATAATCCTTTCCCTTAAACCCAAGTCTAATGCCCTTGCAGAGATACCAACTTTAATTTACAAAAAAAAAAATCTGATTTTTAGCTTCTGCCATTACATTGCTCCACAAAAATTATTTGAACTCCAAACCTTTCCATATATTCTAAAAAAACGAGAGTAACCCCAGTCCATAAATGTGGTGATCTCACTAATGTCAACAATTTAAGACCTATATCAATTCTGCCAAACTTGTCAAAAATGTTTGAAAAACTAATCTACAAGCAGCTTTACTCTTATCTAGCCAATCACAATATATTTAGCTCTTGCCAATATGACTTCAGACCAAAAAAAGCACTGACGATGCACTGATTAGTATGATTAACTTGATACATGCAGCTCTTGATAAAAATGATTTCCCTGTTGGGTTATTTGTTGACCTACGTAAGGCTTTTGACACTGTCAACCACCAAAACCTTCTTCTTAAATTACATCATTATGGATTCAGAGGTCACTTCCTCCAATACCTTCAGTCTTATCTTTCTGACAGGCTCCAGTATGTTTCTGTGAATAATTCCATTTCTCCTACACTACCCATAAACATTGGTGTTCCACAGGGCAGTATACTTGACCCTCTCCTCTTTCTCATCTACATTAATAACCTTCTAAATGCCTCTCAACACCCCAAACTAATTTTATTTGCTGATGACACAACCTTCATTTTCTCCAGTCCTGGCCCTCTTGTTTTAAATGTCACAGTGAATACTGAACTAAATAAAGTCCATCTTTGGCTAACTGCTAACAAACTCACCCTTAAAATTGACAAAACTTTCTATATTTTGTTTGTTTTGTTTAATCCTCAAATTAAATTAATCTAAGAATAAACAATATCCAAATTAGTAACAAAGTAGATGGTAACTTTCTTGGTGTTCTCATCGATAACAAGCTGAATTCCCAGGGACACATTCTAAACATAGCAAAAAAAGTTTCTAAAATTCTTGGCATTTTTTTAAGATCAGATATTATGATAAGATATAATCAGATAAGCATCAATCCTTATCTCAATTATGGTATTTGTGCTTGGGGTTCTATTACCCAAAATCATTTACGTCCTCTAAATACTCAACACAAAGCTGCTATTAGAACAATATCTAACTCTAACCCCAGACAGCACTCGGTACCCTAACTTAAATCTTTAAATATGTTAGATATTAGGTCACTGCACATCCTCTCTTGTGTACTCTATATAGTGTACTCAATATATTTGAAACTCTGAACTGTAATGTCAATCCTGACCTTAAATGCTTCCTACAAGGTTGTAACAGAACTCATGGGTACCACACCAGAAACAAAAACTGATATTCCAAGAGTGCACCTTAACCAAACTAGAAATGCTCTAAAAATCAAGGGACCCAGAATGTGGAATGACCTTCCCAATCCTGTCAAAGGTTGTACCTCTCTCAACCAGTTTAAGAGGAAAAGCTAAGTACTTCCTAATAAATTCCATGTAACCTACCGTACCCCCTAAATGTCAACCCACGTCTTGCTATTTTCAAACAATGCTGTTTGTTGACCAAATTGTATAATTGCTGATTTCTGCCGTTCTCCCCCCTTTTTCCGTTTTCAACACAATTTATACTTTAATCTCAATTAGTAATAAGCTTTGGTCTAAGTGGTTTTTTCCCCACACCTTGCCCGAAACGCTGTGCGTATTAGTGGCTTTAGGTATTGTATGTACTAGCTCTATCTATAAATCCAACATTATGTTTGTAACTCATCTTCTATGTATGTACTTTTACCTGAATAAACATTTTGATTTTGATTTGGCGTTTTACTCACGCCTCTGGAGTGTATTAATTTGTTTGTCAACACAAACATTCGAGTCAACATCTTAACCAGTATTAATCTCACATTCTGGCGCCCAACGCGGTGCTAGACTTGTGGGGACAAATTGGACCATTACACATGCCCCCCCCCCTCCCGACGGGGGGGCCCTCGTAGCCTGGTGGATAGTGCGCAGGGCTCATAATTCTGTGGCGCGGGTTCGATTCCTCCTACGAAGCAGAAACAAATGGGCAAAGTTTCCTTCACCCTGAATGATTAGTACTGCTGTTGCCTAGCAGTAAATAGGTACCTGGGACTTAGTCAGCTGTCATGGGCTGCTTCCTGGGGTGTGTGTGTGTGTGTGGTGTGGGGGAAAAAAAGTAGTTAGTAAACAGTTGATTGACAGTTGAGATTCGGGTCAAAAGAGCTAAAGCTCAATCCCCGCAAACACAACTAGGTGAATTCAACTAGGTGAATACATCTGACGCCCAAGGTGAGGCTAATACGTGTATAAGGATAAAAGGAAAATCCATGCTCTCACATCCACTTACTGTGGATTTAGAGTGGACACTGACATATATGTGTGGTTGCAGTGACCTTGTGAGTGACTCAGTGACTCTCACACTGGTCGAGGTGATTAAGCCCTCAGATTAACCGAGGGATTGTTCCCCTTGTATTCTATGGACAGAGATATGCCTGACTCGAGGTGTATTGACAAAGCAGGTACCAAGGGAAAGTTTATCATGTTGGCAGGAAGGAGGTTGTGGGTGCTGGCCACACACGCACACGAACCATACGAATGTAAGAAAACTCTGTACAAGACTGAGAGTAGCCAATAACATCCAGTAAGCTCGAGGAGGTTGTCGAGGTCTACGTCATTCAAGGGTCCAGGTCATATACAAGGGTCAAGGTTCGAGGTCATGTACATCACATAAATATCATGAGTTGGAAGCCATTACATTTGGTGAGGAGAATTAGTTGGGTGCACAGCAAGAGGATATAATTATATTATTCATATTATCAGTTTATTATTTTATTACTTTTATTATGAGAATGTGAACTAATTGAGGCTTAAGCAAACTTAAGCAAACATCAAACAATCATGATTCTAATATGTTGTAGATATTGTATTTCATGCAGAGTAACAGGTTAGTAATAATGCTTTAATTAACAGATATGAACAAAAAATACGAGTTGCTAGAGACACAACAATTATTTAAAAATCAGAACAAATGGGGATAACCTTTGACAAGCCGCCAGCTTCCTGTCCTCGTCAAGTTCAATAGAGAAGTGGTGGCTTTCAGGTAAATTACTATGAACATGATGAATTTGCTGTGTTATACATACACCAAAATGGGTTCACTACTTTGAACAAAAAACATAAGGTGTTCATTGTTATGAACAAACAACACAATGGTTTAAACATAGGAAACAAAAGGTTCACTTTGTTAAAATAAAAAAAGTGTTTCACTTTTGAAAACACAATGAAAAATCTACTGCAGGATTCCCTACTTTATACACTAAAAAAGAAAAGGTTCACACTTCATAAATCAAACATTCTTATCCATAGAGCAGGAACATAATTATAAAACTTGCCTATGACATTTTATGAACACCTTATTTATACAATATGAAAAATATTTGTATTGTTAAATTACCAATTGGAGACGTAAATTCCGTATAATACATGCTCTGCTGCATTATTCTTATGTATTAACTCCCCCACTCCAATTTCCCAGCTGTCAAGCAAGCACCATATCAAAATGTTCATCGTAATGACCCTGAAACCTTTAAGCTCCTATTATATTTGCATAGAGCGAGACTTGCGACTCGCTCAGCGTACAGGAGTCTCCCCTTGATGAATGTTGCGTGCTCTCTCGTACTGCTCACCAACCCATCACAGAGAACGTCAGCGGCCTTTGCGTTTGGCGGACAGCCTCGCCTGCGCGAGCAGCTCCTGGTACTCCTTGGGTATACTGCCCGAGGCGAAGTGCTTGTGCTGTGTAGCCACCCTCCTGGCGCTGCCTGGCCTTCGCGGAGATCTTTTTCGCCTCTCATCCCCTGTCAACATAAGCAATACACTTGTACTTAGAAATTAAAATATTAAATTATAAATTCTCCTATTGTGCTTGATTATGTCTTTATATATTTGTTTGGCATTATCCTCAATTATTCAGTTTATAGTATCTAACTTGTGTGTGTTATCATTATGTTGTTAAATTTTTGCTTTATTTTCCCAATTAATAAGTTCCGTGTGTGTATTTACTATTTGTGCTTGCAGGATCGAGCTGTTAGCTCTTGGATCCCGCCTCTCTATCTAACCATCGGTTATCTAATTTACTGACTCTCAACCCTTTTCCTATAACATCTACTACATAACTTTCTCTCTAACACATCTCCAGGAGGCAGCCCGTAGCAGCTGTCTAACTCCCAGGTGCCAAGTTAATTACTGCTAGGTGAACAGGTGCATCAGAATTGCTAGAAAACTAGCAGATTACAGAGACTCTTATAATGGATTTTAGGAACTGAACTCCAAAAATTCAGTAAGGTAAGCAAGCCAGAGTCTTGATAAGCTATAGTTACATGGAATTAACACAAACAGTCCCCATCTTGAGGTTATCTTGAGATGATTTCGGGGCATTTTTTTAGTGTCCCCGCGGCCCGGTCCTCGACCAGGCCTCCACCCCCAGTAAGCAGCCCGTGACAGCTGACTAACACCCAGGTACCTATTTTACTGCTAGGTAACAGGGGCATAGAGTGAAACTCTGCCCATTGTTTTTCGCCAGCGCCTGGGATCGAACCTAGGACCACAGGATCACAAGTCAAGCGTGCTGTCCGCTCGGCCGACCTGCTCCCTCCCATGGTGTAGTTGGTAAAAGGCTCGCCTGGCGTGTTGCGAACATTTTGTCCTGAGTTCGTTTCCTGGCCAGGAAGGATTTACTGGGCGCCAATCCCAATTTAACTGTAGCCTCTGTTTAACCCAACAGTAAAATGGGTACCTGGTTGTTAAACGGTTTCGATTTATGGGGGATATATATATATATATATATATATATATATATATATATATATATACTTATAAAAAGTAAGATTAATAATTCTAACACGAATTCTATCGATGTTTCTTATATTTTTTTCACTGTTGATGGTAACTGAAAAATCAATTCTCCAAAATTCATTATTATTTCTAGTCTGACACTTGAGCTCGCTTCCTAAAACTTATTACATTTTCAAAGACTTGAGTTTACACACACACAACTATAACTGAACAGAGATTAAACAGCTTCGATTTTTTTTTTTTTTTTAATACCTGCATTTGGGTGAGGTGATATGCTACAACAGTTTTGGATGAGGTGAAAACAAACTTTCAACACAAGACAGAACATGAAACAATGGGTTCAATATTTTGTAAGTTTAAGGGAAGAATGGAAGTAACTGCAAAGGGCCTATTGGCCCATATTTCTTGATGCTTCTATATTGGTGCGGAGACTTGAAGTGGGTAGAATTGTGGGGTTGTGCATTAATTGGCTGTTGATTTCTGGTGTCGACTTCTTAATGTGTAGTGCCTCGCAGATATCTAGCTGCCTGTTATCGCTGTATCTATCGATGATTTCCGTGTTTTTTGCTAAGACTTCTCTGGTGATGGTCTGGTTGTAAGAAGAGATTATATGTTCCTTAATGGAGCCCTTTTGCTTATGCATCGTTAATCGCCTGGAAAGAGATGTTGTTGTCTTGCCTATATACTGAATTCTTTGAGGCTTACAGTCCCCAAGTGGGCATTTGAAGGCATAGACGACATTGGTCTCTTTTAAAGCGTTCTACTTTGTGTCTAGAGAGTTTCTCATGAGTAAGTTGGCCGTGTTCTTGGTTTTATAGTAGAATATTTTTTATAGTAAAAATCGAGGGACCTAAATTTCGGAGTATTTCTCGGAGTATTATACTCCGAAATTTCCATCTCTTTTAGGGGTCTGAGCTGTGGTGCAGTGGGTTAAAGGCGTACCAGTTATGCCAGTTGCTGTAAGGCTTCTGTCCTGGTTAGGGTTCGAATCTCCTGGTGGGAAAGTGTTCTAAGGTTATATAATCTCACTTGCGTGTTTAGGCAAGTTGTGCATTAAACATAGACACAGAGTTCTCCTATATTAACCCTATATTAACAGGAATTTGATGAAAGAACGTGAGTAGCCCCTCACTATGTTCTAGTTGCCCTTGGGAGGTGGTGATCTTTGGAGGTGAAATACTCCGAAATTACCATATCTTTTAGGGGTCTGAGCTGTGGTGCAGTGGGTTAAAGGTGTACCAGTTATGCCAGTTGCTGTAAGGCTTCTGTGCTGGCTAGGGTTCGAATCTCCTGGTGGGAAAGTGTTCTAAGGTTGTATAATCTCTCTTGCATGTTTAGGCAAGTTGTGCATTATATATTTGTATATATATATATATATATATATATATATATATATATATATATATATATATATATATATATATATATATATATATATATATATATATATATATATATAAGCCTATACTTGCATAAACCACAAGTGAAGATAAACAATCTTTTGACAACACCCACCAGTGGGACTCGAACCCAGAAAGCACAACTACCTTCCAGTAGCTGGCATAACTAGTATGCTTTAACCCACTACGCCATCAGACCTTACAAAAGAAGTAGATAGTTCGAGATATATATATCTCAAACATCTCTACCTCCCGAAGGCACCAGATGAGTGAGGGGTCAGTCTGCAATTTTCGTCAAGCCACTGTCAATGTGAGAGAACTCGTGTCCAGCTTATAAGCCTATACTTGCATAAACCACAAGTGAAGATAAACAATCTTTGGACAACACCCACCAGTGGGACTCGAACCCAGAAAGCACAACTACCTTCCAGTAGCTGGCATAACTAGTATGCTTTAACCCACTACGCCATCAGACCTTACAAAAGAAGTAGATAGTTCGAGATATATATATCTCAAACATCTCTACCTCCCGAAGGCACCAGATGAGTGAGGGGTCAGTCTGCAATTTTCGTCAAGCCACTGTCAATGTGAGAGAACTCGTGTCCAGCTTATAAGCCTATACTTGCATAAACCACAAGTGAAGATAAACAATCTTTGGACAACACCCACCAGTGGGACTCGAACCCAGAAAGCACAACTACCTTCCAGTAGCTGGCATAACTAGTATGCTTTAACCCACTACGCCATCAGACCTTACAAAAGAAGTAGATAGTTCGAGATATATATATCTCAAACATCTCTACCTCCCGAAGGCACCAGATGAGTGAGGGGTCAGTCTGCAATTTTCGTCAAGCCACTGTCAATGTGAGAGAACTCGTGTCCAGCTTATAAGCCTATACTTGCATAAACCACAAGTGAAGATAAACAATCTTTGGACAACACCCACCAGTGGGACTCGAACCCAGAAAGCACAACTACCTTCCAGTAGCTGGCATAACTAGTATGCTTTAACCCACTACGCCATCAGACCTTACAAAAGAAGTAGATAGTTCGAGATATATATATCTCAAACATCTCTACCTCCCGAAGGCACCAGATGAGTGAGGGGTCAGTCTGCAATTTTCGTCAAGCCACTGTCAATGTGAGAGAACTCGTGTCCAGCTTATAAGCCTATACTTGCATAAACCACAAGTGAAGATAAACAATCTTTGGACAACACCCACCAGTGGGACTCGAACCCAGAAAGCACAACTACCTTCCAGTAGCTGGCATAACTAGTATGCTTTAACCCACTACGCCATCAGACCTTACAAAAGAAGTAGATAGTTCGAGATATATATATCTCAAACATCTCTACCTCCCGAAGGCACCAGATGAGTGAGGGGTCAGTCTGCAATTTTCGTCAAGCCACTGTCAATGTGAGAGAACTCGTGTCCAGCTTATAAGCCTATACTTGCATAAACCACAAGTGAAGATAAACAATCTTTGGACAACACCCACCAGTGGGACTCGAACCCAGAAAGCACAACTACCTTCCAGTAGCTGGCATAACTAGTATGCTTTAACCCACTACGCCATCAGACCTTACAAAAGAAGTAGATAGTTCGAGATATATATATCTCAAACATCTCTACCTCCCGAAGGCACCAGATGAGTGAGGGGTCAGTCTGCAATTTTCGTCAAGCCACTGTCAATGTGAGAGAACTCGTGTCCAGCTTATAAGCCTATACTTGCATAAACCACAAGTGAAGATAAACAATCTTTGGACAACACCCACCAGTGGGACTCGAACCCAGAAAGCACAACTACCTTCCAGTAGCTGGCATAACTAGTATGCTTTAACCCACTACGCCATCAGACCTTACAAAAGAAGTAGATAGTTCGAGATATATATATCTCAAACATCTCTACCTCCCGAAGGCACCAGATGAGTGAGGGGTCAGTCTGCAATTTTCGTCAAGCCACTGTCAATGTGAGAGAACTCGTGTCCAGCTTATAAGCCTATACTTGCATAAACCACAAGTGAAGATAAACAATCTTTGGACAACACCCACCAGTGGGACTCGAACCCAGAAAGCACAACTACCTTCCAGTAGCTGGCATAACTAGTATGCTTTAACCCACTACGCCATCAGACCTTACAAAAGAAGTAGATAGTTCGAGATATATATATCTCAAACATCTCTACCTCCCGAAGGCACCAGATGAGTGAGGGGTCAGTCTGCAATTTTCGTCAAGCCACTGTCAATGTGAGAGAACTCGTGTCCAGCTTATAAGCCTATACTTGCATAAACCACAAGTGAAGATAAACAATCTTTGGACAACACCCACCAGTGGGACTCGAACCCAGAAAGCACAACTACCTTCCAGTAGCTGGCATAACTAGTATGCTTTAACCCACTACGCCATCAGACCTTACAAAAGAAGTAGATAGTTCGAGATATATATATCTCAAACATCTCTACCTCCCGAAGGCACCAGATGAGTGAGGGGTCAGTCTGCAATTTTCGTCAAGCCACTGTCAATGTGAGAGAACTCGTGTCCAGCTTATAAGCCTATACTTGCATAAACCACAAGTGAAGATAAACAATCTTTGGACAACA